TTGACAAAAAGGCGAACTGATTTTTCTCATATATTTTTATTATTTTTAAATAATTTTTAATGTTCAACTACATTTGGCTTGCTGATTCCTTCTAGCTCTTTTCGCCTCATTTTTTTGAAAACTATGACTGGCAGGAAGTTTCCGATGTTGAACATGGTGCAAAAAGAGAATTAGTAAGTTAGCAAGAGACACGCAGCTATAGGTAGATCGCAAAGTAAATACGAATAATAAATACAAATACGAACGAAACGAAACGAACGAGTAAATACAAAAAAATACGAACAAAAATTAGGGTTTTTTTCAAGCAAAACTTTTTGAATTTTCACTTTAACACGCCTGGGGACCATTGTTTACAACAACACAATTTAAAAATTCAAATTTTGACTTTTAAAATGACAAAACCAACCAACACAAATCACTGTCGACACCACAGATACCTGTAAATTTCTCTTATCTCCCGACAGTGTCGCCATCGTTGACTAAAACCCTAACTGAAAACTTTCATCGCGATTCTCCCATTTGAGATATTTTTCTATAGGTGATATCAAAGAATATTATAGACTAACGTCTCTAGAAGTCTCGTCCGTATTCTGATTTTTGATACCTCGATGGACGCCGGCTTTTGCCGGTGTGGACGCTGGCTCGAGTCTATTGCCCACTGTTGCCGAGTTGTCAGTGCTGTTGATTCAGCGTCCAGCCAGCGAGCCAGCATCCGTGTCTGCTTCTCTGAATGAAGTTATTAAAGTGAAATATTTGCTTTGCGTGCATAGGGAGACAGACGCGTGCCAAAAGGAATTAGGAAGTTAAGCATATATTTTCTAACATATTTGATAATTTACCAACGAATATCATAGATGGATGCTATTCTATCATTTTCTTTAGGTTTTTTTTTCAGTATATTTGGCAAATTTGCCACTTGGAAATATATGTTTAATTTCGAATTATGAATTATTTATTTATTTTCCAGTAGATCGGTTTATTTACCAACAAGTAAATTTTGGGGTCGGTCAAGTTTCCGCCTGTATTAAACAAATTTCAAAAATAAATACCTAAACCATAATAATTTTGCACACTATAACTAAAATATTGCACACAACACAACGAAAACTAGAGCATTTTTTTAAACAAGGGACAAATTTGACCGTTCCCCCTTGTTTGTCTAAAACTTGAAAAATTCCTATTCACCTAAATTTGCACAATTTCGAATGCCTATTTTCAAATTTTGCACACTTTTCTGGGGAAAGTTAAAGTATGTTTTTTTTTAAAGATAATTCCCCAAGTCAAAAATTCAATAACTATGTTGGCAACACAAGCCTTTTCTACATAAAAAATTTGAAAGCATTGACAATTTTACATTGCATTGCCAACTTAATGTCATTTTGACTTTTATCTTTAAAAACTGTTCCGCAAATATTACCTCATTTTTTCGCGATTCTTATCTCACTTTTTCACAAATTCACACTCACTTTTTTTGAAATTTTTGGCTCATTTTTTTTGTGATTTTTGACCCACTTTTTTGCGATTTTTGGCTCTCACTCCTCGGCGATTACAAACTTATTTTTCTGCTATTTCATCCTCATTTTCCCGCGATTGTTCCCCTACTTTCCGCGATTTTATCTCCACTTTTCCGCTAATTTGACCTCACTTTTTTTGTGATTTTTGAAAAATATTTTTTTTTTTTTATTTTTGACTCATTTTTTTGCAATTTTACCATCACTTACCGCAATTCTAAATCCACTTTTTCACGATTGTAAACCGACTTTTCTGTAAATATAATCTCATTTTTCCGCGATTCTTGTCTCACTTTTTTTTGCGATGTTATCCTCACTTTTCCGCGATTCATATTTCATTCTCCGCGATTTTATCCTTACTTTTCGTGACTTTATCCTCATTTTTCCGTGAGTCTCATCTTACTTTTCCGCGAGTTTAAATTCACACTTTTTGAAATTTTTGACTCATATTTTTCTTGCGATTTTTGACTCTTTTTTTTGTGATTTTATCATCACTTTCCACGATTTTATCCTCATTTTTCCTCATTTCAAAATTACGAAAATAACGATAATTTTTGAAAAGTTACGAAAAATTACGTAAAATATGAAAAATTAGAGAGAGTTGCAAACATTTACGAGAATTACGGAACATTACGAGAATCACGGAATAACAAAAAATTGCGGAAATTACAAAAATTATGGGAATTGCCAAATATTACGCAAAAGAATTACGAAGTCACTCCAAAATTACGTCAATTATTTAAATATTACTAATTTTTGAAAAGTTACGAAAACTAACAAGACAAATTACGGGAATTACGAAAAATAATGGGAATTTTAAAAATTTACGAAACCTAGTAAATTGACGGAAATGACGAAAATTTGCGGGAATTATGAGAAATTATGAAAATTACGGGAATTGAGAAAAATACAAAAAACTACGAAAATTACAAAAATTACGGGTATTATGAAATATTACGGAAAAGAATTACAAAGTCATTTCAAAATTACGTGAATTACGGTAATTCCCAAAATAACGGAAATCACAATTTTTTGAAATTACGAAAATTACAATAACTTAGGGAGAATTAGAAAATTCCGAATTTTTTTGGAAATTAGGAAAATTGAAAATTAAAAAATTGAAAATATAAATAATTACTGGAAAAAGCGCGAAAAATTGCGGGAATAACGAAAATTACCAAGTTTTCCAAAAATTGAAAAAAATAACGGGGAATTAGAAAATAACAAGAATTATCTCAGAAATGACACGAATTAAAAAATTTCGAAAATCCCCCAAAAAAAATACGGAAATTTCCAATTTTCGAAAATTTCAAAAACTTAAAGAAAATTATAAAACTAACGAAATTTTTTTGAGAAATTACGGAAATTAAAAAATTACGAAAATATGTAATGGAAATTACGAAAATTTCGAGTTTTTCGAAAATTGTAAAAACTAAGGGGGTATTAGGAAAATAACGAGAATTATCTGAGAAATGACAGGAATTACAAGATTTCGAAAATTCCCAAAATAAAATACGAAAATTACGAGACTTATATAATTTCAAAATTATGAAAATAACGGAGTTTTCTGAGAAATTACAGGAATTAAAAAATTACGGAAATCTGAAAACTACAGGAATTATTCAAAAATTATGAAAAATACGAAAAAATCACGAGAATTAAAAAAATTGTGACAATTTTCAAAAAATTACGAAAATAACAAGAATTACAAAAAGTTACAGGATTCACGAATTTTCCGAAAATTGCAAAAACTAAGGGGGAATTATGAAATTAACGAGAATTTTTTGAAAAATGACGGGAATTTAAGAATTTTCGAAAATTCCAAGAAAAAAAAATACGGGAATTACCAATTTTTGAGAATCACAACAAACTGGGGGGGAATTATAAAGATAACGGAGTTTTTTTGAGAAATTACGGGAATTACAAAATTACGAAAATTTGAGGAACTACAGGAAATATAAAGATTGGAAGAGATAAGGAAAAATCACGAGAATTGCGAAAAAATTACGATAATTTTTGGTAAACTTACGGGATTTATGAAAAAGTTACGGGAATTACGAAAATTACGAGTTTTCCAAGAATTGCAATGACTAAGGAAGAATTATAGAAATAGGGAGAGGAGAATTATCTGAGAAATTACGGAAATAATGAAAATTCACAATAAAATTTTTTTTAAAATTACGAGAATTACGAATTTTTGAAAGTAACAAAAACTTAGGGGGAATTATAAAATAAGTAGGTAACTAAATATTTTGAGAAATTACAGAAATTAAAAAACTACGAAAATCTGAGAAACAACAGGAATTATTCAAAAATTACGGGAATTTTGGAAAGTTACGAAAAATTATGGGAATTACGAAAATTAGGAGTTTTGCAAAAATTGCAAAAACTAAGGAAAAATTATAAAAATAACGAAATTTATTTGAGAAATAACGGCTTTCAACAATTTTTTTTCGCAATTTAACCTTCACTTTTCCACAATTTCAAAGTCCAAACTCACTTTCTCGCAATTTCAACAAAATTTTCCACGAATTTTGCCTCACTTTTCCGTTATTCTTTCCTCATTTTTCAATAAGTATAAGCTCACTTTTCCGCGATTTTCGCCTCACATTGCCGCAATTTCAACCTAATTTTTCCATAATCTTTACTTTTGTTTTTCGTATTTATAACCTCTTTTTTTCTCGATTATAACCTTGCTTTTCCGCCATTTTTACTCAACTTTTTCGCAATTAGGGAATGCAAACCACGTGACTTTTGCCAACCAGCCGGCATTTTGAAATTTTTATGAGGTTAGAATACGGGTTTTTACATGTCAACGATGTCAGAAAAGTGTCAGATTTGAGAACTCGTCCCGTGTATTGATAAAGCCTGGTACTCATAAAAGCGAAATTCGCTCTTTTTTCAACGTCAAATTGTCGATGCAATGTCAAAAAAGAGCAAATTATGAGTACTAGGCTTAATCCTGCCAAAGAAAAACATATGTGTTTTGTTTATTGTTTGCCAACCAGACGCCATTTGGACAGGTCGTTGGATTGCCTAATTCCAACATTTCCAACCTCATTTTTCCGTAATTTTTACTTCTATTTTTCGTAATTCCAACGTCACTTTCCAGCAATTTTGACACTCACTTTTTCGCAATTTTTGAAAAGTTACGGAAAATTGCAGGAATTACGAAAAATTACTGGAATTATAAAAATAAAGAGAATTACAAAAATTATAGGAATTATGAAAATCACGAATTTTTGAAATTATGAAAATTACAAAACTTGGGGAGAATTTAAAAATAACGAAGTTTTTTAAAAAATTAGGAGAATTAAAAATAAGTACAAAAAATTACGGGAATTACGAAAAAATTATGATTTTTGAAGAAATTACGAAAAAGTTATGGGGGAATTACGAAAATTATGAGTTTTTCGAAAATGCAATAACTAAGGAAAAATTGACTTTTTTAAGCAAAATTCATTTTCTTACATTTTATTGTTTTTCTAGAAAACTGGCAAAAGAATAATTGTGGAAATTTTTCAGAAAAAAGAGGAAAGTGAGGATCTCATTAAAACAAAATTTCAAAATTTTCCAGTAAAAAATCACTTCAGGAAAAATTCTGGAAAATTGACTTATTTAAGCAAAATTAAGGAAAATTCATCCTCTCATATTTCAATTTATTTCTGGAAAACTAATAAAGCAAAAGTTGTGAAATTTTTCCAAGAGAAAGAAGAAAATAAGGAGCTCATTATAGGAAAATTTCGAAATTTTCCAGTGAGAAATCACTTGGAAAATCGACTTTTTCAAGTAAAATTAAGGAAAATTCATCCTCTCACATTTTTTTTTTTTTGGAAAACTAGCAGAAGAAAAATTTTGAAATTTTTACAGGAGAAAGAGGAAAGTGAGAAGTTCATTATATGTATGTATAAAAATTTCAAAATTTTCCAGTAAAAAATCACTCCAGAAGAAATTCTGGTAAACTAACTTTTAACCAAAATTCATTTTTTTAATTTTAATTTTTTTCTGGAAAACTGGCAGAAGGAAAATTTCAAAAATTTACAGTGAAAAATCACTCTAGGAGAAATTTTATTTATATATTTTCGGATAACTGAATAAATTCTCTTCTAAGTTAAAAAATGTATTACAAAACAATAATTCCGAAGGTGCTCCATGAATTAATCTATGATATAACTTTTTCTCTAAGTTATGACGTCATCGATGACGTAAGTAAAAACTTGCGTGCCGTGAAACAAACTATATGTTTGTTTGAAATTTCAGACATAAAAAAATCAATTTTTTTCAAAAAAAGGCAAATTATGACGTAAGTACAAACCCTCGTGAAACCAACTTTTCACGCGTCTCATTTTCTTTCCATCAAACTCCAAAAAAAAAAAAAAAAACAAAAAATGGTGCTGCAACACCCCTCAAATTTGGAGCCTAGTTGCGCTTATGCTACTCGCTTTGGCCAATTTTGCGCACGTTTCTGGGGAAAGTTATTAAGGCATTAAAAATTTGCACTTTCCCCCCCGTTTGTCGAAAAATTAAAAGATCCTATGCTTGTCTCCCCACTCTCCCCCCCCCCCCCCTCGTTTTTCAAAAAGTTGAAAAATCCTTATGCTACTGGGTTCACCTAATTTTGCACAACTTTGCACACCTATTTTCAAATTTTGCAAAATGTGCACTTTTCCGCCGGTTTTTTGAGAAAATTAAATTTTTTTATGTTACTCAATTCGGGTTGAAAATAAACGTACAAAATTGAGTGAACCCAGTAGCAAGGGTTTTTCAATTTTTTGACAAACAGGGGAAAACGTGCAAATTAATACAACATTCAACTCCCAGAGGAATGTGTAAAATTAAAAATAAGGTGTGCAAAATTAGCCGAAGCGAGTAGCATAAGAATTTTTCAAGTTTCAGATAAACGGGGAAAAAAGTGCACATTTATCACACCTCATAACTTTTCCCAGAAGAGTGTGCAAAATTTGAAAACAGGTGTGCAAAATTGTCCAAAATTAGATGAAACGAGTAGTATAGGGGTCTATCAATTTTTTTAAAAACGGGTGGGGTTATGCATGCAAATTTTTGATACGATATAACTTTCCCTAGAAAAGTGTGCAAATTTTGAAAATCGGTGTGCAAAATTATGGGTTATTTATTTTTGAAATTTGTCTATTTGTCGAAAAAAGCAAATTTTCAAAGACGGGGGTAGTCCTGACAACCTGTTCACCTTTCGACCTGTCATATTTTGACAGCTGTCAAAAATTACATTTGAGTGTTGAGTATTCCAAATTGTATTATCATCCGAACTTAAACTGTATGCAAAATTTCAGCAAAATCCGTTGCGAAATAATGGTTCAAAAATCTGCACCTGTCACATTTGACAGTTGACACCTGTCATTAGTGATCTAAAATGTATTATCATCTAATCACCTGAACTTGAAGTGTATGCTAAATTTCAGCAAAATCCGTTGTGAAGATATGGTTCAATCTGCAACTGTTTCAATTTGACAGTTGACACCTGTCATTAGCGCTCTAAAACCTTCTTATTATTATTGCCTTTCATATTAAACATTAAACTGGTTTGAGGCACATCGATCGGATAGTTTCAAAGTCTATAACGGACAAAGGTAGACACACAGACAGACAGACAGACAGACAGAAACAATTTTTGTGTTTTATTCCTCTATTTATTAGTAACAGAAAATTACTACCCACAAAAATACATAACTATTTACCTATTTATTATTTTTTTTAAATTATAAAATATTCCTATTCTATGGAAGGTATATATGTATAATAAGTACCTATATAAAACACAAAGGCATTTAATTTGTTATACAAAAGAAACTTGGCAACGCAGCCTAGCAAATACGCGTGCATTTAGTGCCTCAAATTAATTTAATCGCAGAAACGACTGATTTTACTAGGACACTAGCGCCATCACGCAGGTTTAGTTTATATTTTCGCCGCCGGACGGTTCTTCTAGAGACGTTAGTCTATAATATTCTTTGGTGATATGTTCTGTGGTAAAGCATTTCAGTCACTCTAGTGAAATAGTCAATCGAATCTCACGCTGTAACGACTAATTTTAGAAGAAAAAAAAATAGATAATGTTTTAAAGTGCGTTTTTTTTTTTAAAGATAATTCCCCAAGTCAAAAATATAGTAACTATGTTGGCAATACAGGCCTTTTCTACACGAAAAATTTGAAAACATTGACAATTTTACATTGTATTGCCAACATGATGTCATTTTGACTTTTATCTTTAAAAAAAAAACGCACTTACTTATATTTTTTTTCTATAACATTTCATATAGAACTTTGCATCGAGAAGTTCTCCGTTTTCTAAATATAGTAATTTCAACCCTTAAAGAAATTTTTTTCAACTTCTTCCTGACAAGGGATTTTTAAAATTCATACGGAATCGGATTTTCAAGGTCAAAAACTATATGAATATACATATACTTTACTTTGGGCAAAAATGGTCTCACTTTCGATACTTTTCAGTGTACTATTTGTTCATCAGAGTTCAGCTTTATTTAACATAAATTGAGTGTATAATAATAGCGTTTGATTTATTTTTTTACTTATAACAAAACTAATTATAATTTTTGTTGTCTTGATAATGTTTAACAAACATAAATAATATTAATTGATTTTGTAGTGTATTGAATGAGTTAACTTGCTGGGGGGGGATTATGGGATTTTGGGATTCGGTCAATTTTTCTGAAAATTTGATATGATGCTCCTCTCGACATTCTGATTAAAAGTGTTCATAGCCACAACTTGATCCTATGCCTAGTTTTCGAGATACAGGTAGTTAAATGTCCAAGAATTTTATATGCATTTGCATATGCTTGTCACCTGAGCGTGGGGATACCTGTCAATCCTAGTATAGTTTGGCAAGTGGTAACTTGGTAGGGACGAAAGGGGGAAGAAAAGTGGGGCGTAACCTAAGAATATTCACTGACACCTCAACTGACATCACCTGATGACAACCATGTCTTTGGGTTCAGTGGCACCGAAAACACCAAGGAAATAAATCAATAAAATTATTAGAAAAAAAAAATCTTTAGTTTCCCAAATAACCACGTCACTGGTGCTGTCGTTCAGGCTTTCACCAATAGAATCATGACTCTGAATAATTCCGCCTCTCCACATCCATCAATTCGCAATGTTTCCAGATTTTTTTCTATTTCAAAATACTACACATGCCCATATTGCAAAAAAAATATGTCACCAACTTGTTTATTATTGTTTCCGGTGGTTTCCGTCAAGTTTGGCAAAGCAGCAAATTCTTTTGCAGTTCGCCGTTTGACTAGCCAGACAATATATTCCGCGTGTGGCTAAATTCAGCTGGTGGGCTATGCACACTTTGAATCAAAATGTTGAGAGGAAGATCATATCAAATTTTCAGGAAAATTGACCGAATCCCAAAATCTCATAGGTGTGCGGGGTCTTTAATTTCAATAAGAGTATCAATTTAGTATCATCAAATGCAGAAAAAGTTAAGAAGCCCGCTGTAATAAACCCATTGGTTTTCTTGTGGCTATTGCGAAAAGTCGTAATGACGCTTGAGATGAGTCTCAATATCAAGTAAATTGTGAGATGAAGACATTCTGTTGTATCATAAAAATTTTCATGAGGAGAAAAAAAAATCGTGTCTTGGCAATTTTTGCCATGGTTTTTCTGGAAGAAAAATCCACACCAAGACCGTGTTCCGTGTTATTTATTGTCAGTTGAAAGATTATTTTAAATTTTTTTTATAAAATCAACTTAATTTGTTAAAAAAAGATGAAAACAATCATGTCCATAACCGCCTCGCAACTGTATTGGTTGATTTTTTCATATTGATTCAAAAATACAAATATGTATTGTCACAACTGCCCGCTTTACGGGGGTGACATGGGGGGTTTGTAGCTTTGGGGGTTGATGGAGAGAAACTCGCTCAGGTTATATAAAAATATAGATATATATTTTCCCAAATATAACCTTACATGTACGCTAACCCTATAAGATACATGACCCTTCGTACACTGGGGTCTTTATAGGGGGCCACACGTCAATGCTGCTTGGGGGACTGTAGGTTAGTTTATCGTCACCCTTATGCCTTGTCCAGAGGGGCGTTCCCAACGAGAGGTAATTGCACTGGACAACGATAAGGCTGAAGATACCCAGAGGGGCGTTCCCAACGAGAGGTACTTGCACTGGGAAGACTTAATTCCAGAGGGGCTTTTCCAACTAGAGGTACTTGCACTGGTTTAAGTCTGCCTTTTCTGCGGCTTGCAGCGCAATTTATATCAATTTATTGCAATAAACATCCGAGGGTGACCACGAGATTACTGACCAAGCTCTAGTTCAGGCATGAATATCAATATCGATTTCAAGTTTTGAGGATGTATATTATTGATATCGATGCAGAATTTCGCTATAAAAATAATCGACTATCGCTTCTGGTTTGACCGCAAGTGCCATCAACTTCTTTATTTCAACTAGATCACCCCCTATATTATTACATTTTTGGATTCTATGAGAAATTCTAAGCATATTTTATGTATAACATCCTATACCTAACTTTAAGAGTTTTCAAGAAAATCGCGATTGAAAATGTCAAATATAATTTTTATTTTAGTTTTGACAGCAAACAATGGAAAGAAGGTTGAAGCTTTTACTATATTTTTTTTACTATACTAACCTGAGAAATAGACATTATTTGTAAGTGATTGTGTGATTCAATGATGTTTTACGCGATTTTAGTTTTAAATAAACTATTTATT